GTTATGAAGTGATTAAGAAACGAAAAATACAGAGGAGATGCATGTGAAAAAGATAACTAGTAATTAAATTCTTAGTTTCACGATTGAGTAAATTGACCTAAGTTGAAAACGATCTTTGTGATACGAAGTTCATGAATCACTCTTTGCATGCATTTATAATACATCAAACTCACCCACAAAAAACTTTATTGAATTGACCAGAATTTGTACTTCTGATAGTGCAGTTCATTTGTTGCATTCAGTTCTTAAGGCTTGCTAATTTGCTCTGAGGGGACCTCCGAGCAGCCCCATCATCTACAACTTTCTTCCCTGATTCCCAGACTTGTAAGCAATTGATGATTAACTTTTCAGAAAGAAATGTTTACAGTTTTGTTCTGAATGGAGTAGTTAATGCTATTATGTTAGCTTTACTGGTATTTTCCATGGTAAGTCTTGTTCGCCTGATAGAACTGGGGTAGAGAATGAACCAGCAGGTGGTTCGGACCAGTGAAGGTGAGGGCGAGGCATTCAAAATAGAAACTTGACCATAATATTATTGGGCTTCGCTCTGATGAAATGTGATTAATTCCTGCCGAAACCATTATTTTCTAGTCTCAATGGTATGAATGTCATATCACTTGCGTACTAAAATCGGTGAAATATATAAATATTTACATCATTATATTTAATTTATGAGACGTTTTTGTTGACAAAATTGTAAACCCAATTAACGTAATTGAAATATTCGTTTTGAGTAGGTGAGAACTGTCATACTCACCTAGTTGAGGCTTTTTTTTTTTTTTTTTTTTTTACATTGTTTATTCAGAAACGCTACTCCTTGGGAAACACATAGTAAATAAAAGATTAAAGACATTTTAATTAATATTTAATAACCATATATATATATATTCCGATTTTGTTCCTAAGGGTTACAACCTAAATGAAAGGTTTTAAAAGTTCTTGCGTTGAATATAACCAATTTTCTAGATTACTATTTTTAATCCATTCTCTTAAAAACTCAAATACAAATTAGAAAAACTCATATATATATATGTATAATTAAATTATTTTTTATATTTAAATATCAAAATCTATAATTTTTCTTTTATTTTCAAATTACACTTTCCGATCTTAGTAAAAATAAATCTAATTATCAGTTCATGCATGTATCCACCTTATTCAATATCCATAACATGCTTAATATTCAATGCTTGCCAGTACACGTAAAAAAAAAAAAAAACATAAATGATTGATAGGATATATAAAAAGTAGAAAGAAAGCTTGTTCATTTCTTACATGTTTCTTGTACTGATGATGAAAAGTTACAATTCAATTCCTTCTTGGAGTGAAAAACCATGAAATGAAATGAATTGATTCATTCTTTTTTAACTTTAGATTTTGCTTTCAGCCTCGAATGCAGTACGAAAAATTCAAAATATGCGGACCATTTTGTCGGATTATGTTCGGAAAGTTAGATGCCATTTATGGGATTTAAGCTGTAAAAATGATTTGCCAATCTCACCAGTAAAGTTTTTTTTTTTTTTTTCAACTGTGCAAGATGAAAATCAACGTGGTAGTTTCGAGCCTTTCGGCTATTGACATGAATTTGCATTAAAAAGAAGAAGAAAACTTTTTTATTCTTTTAACAAAAAGACAGAGAGGCCGCACGTACCCGCAGTAGGCCGAAGAGAATTGGAATCCAAATTGCTGCTCAGACTGGGCCCAATAACGAGATATAATGATGAGTCATGGGTGAATTTTAGAGCTGATTCTAATCAAACAAAGATTTTGTGTTACAAAAGTCGCAATTCCTTTTCACTTAATCAATTACCACGTACTAAAAATGTGTATTACGTAATCTTTTCGTATCCTTTTATTAGGTTTTTGACAATGATTTCTTGTCATTGTCGAGTCCGGACCATGGTCTCATTGCTGTTATGATTAACACACACAATTAACCTAGACAATATGACAAATTCGCAAAAAACAAAGAAATTTAATGCTAATGTTTGAAAATTTGAAGTTATTCACGAGGTATTGTGGCGCAATGACGAGATTGAAGCCCAATAGGGTGGTAATTTTTTTCACAAAGCTGGAAATTTGCCCATTCCGATAGAGGTTTCTGGGCTTTTGCTATATAGATGGGCGGACAGGTGGCCCAAGCCGCTCTTTGTTTGAGTCGGCCGAGCCTACGAAAGTTAAGCAAAAGCAGGATTTTTGTTTGTTAAATCTTTAGATCACGAGTGTGCGACCAATTAACCCAAGAGTTCACCATGCTTACCAAAATAATTAATAATAAGGTAACATTTTAACTATAATTATTATTTTATAATTAATTATAATTTCCAATTATATGATATTATTAAAATTTTTTACAAAATTCATATTTATAAATAATAGATTCATACATTAATTTTTATTATGATTGAATAATTGTGAAATTGTGATAAAAAAAATTTACGAGTCAAATTTACCCATGATGATATCACCTATTAATTAAAATAAACACCATGAGGCAGGTTTCTTATGATTTCACCTATGAGTTTTTCATTTCAAGATCAATTAGATTTTATAAGTAGAGAAATTAAATTAAAAAAATACATACAAGAAGCTCCAATCATCCATAACCCAGAAATGATGGTTAATGTTTTTGTAGTTTAGCTACAACTTGCCAAGGAGCTGGACATATCAAAATTGAAGTTCAAAGTCCAAGCTCATGTAGATGATTTTTTTTTATGACATAGATCTAATCAAACTTAAAATAAAAAATCAGCACACGGATGTGTTTTGTTTGATAGTAGATGCATGTGTTCAAATTTCACGTAAGCAACGTAGAGCAAAATATAAGCAACGAAATTAAATTACATACCTTCAACTGATATTGTTCAAGTATTGAATCTTGTGAAAACATAATAAAATTCATATTTTTTAAATTTATCAAATACATGAATCCTTAAATATTTGAATGTAGAAAATACATGTATTTCACAGTTCTTGAACGCATTAGTTTTAAAAAAGTAACCGAGTCGATAACATCTCATCTGGAGTGCAATTCAACAGACATTGTTTGGAATTACAGGCTTTCGTTGTACTTGGGACACTGTGGTCCAAAAGTGGTTGAATCCACTAAACTTTTATGTCCACAAGAATGGCCTCCAAAAAATGGAGATGAAGTGGCTAGTGGGTGATGATGATGTATCATTTTCTGTTTATCATCGACGTGTGTGAATGATTTTGTTGTCCATTCCATTAATGTTATGCATAGGTGAATCACCTTATCAGCTAAAACGATTGAGAAAAAGAGAGTGAACACACAAAAATAAAAATCGTCATTTTGAAGCAATAAATTTATTGATTACGCCTGCTTTTATTATTTACTTATCATATTTTTCTTGTTTCTTGTTTGATATTGACATTAATATGTTTATTAGTTTCATTTTATTATTTATTAAATAAGGAAATTTAAAGAAAAATATTCCAATTTTCCCTGAAAAATTGCACAAAAAATAGTTTCAGAGAGGGCCCCAGTTAAGATATGACGTGTAAACTGAGCAACGCCGTTGAATGAATACTCTGGGTCAGGGTTGGCATCGGGTCGGGTTCGGGGCGGGTTTTGCTCGCCCCGAACCCGACCCGACTTAATGCATAAAAAACCCGAACCCGACCCTACCCGAAATTTTTTTTTTGTTTTTTCATACCCGAACCCGAACCCGACCCGACACTATATAAACCGTACCCGATCCGATCATACCCGAAATTAATAAAATATTATTTTTAAATATAAATATTTAAAAATATCATTATATAAATATATATATAATTAAAAAATTAAAAAATTAATTAAAAATTTATTTTTATATATATATATCGGGTCGGGTAGGGTCGGGTTTGCCTAAAACCCGACCCCGACCCGACCCCGACTTTGTCTTCATGCTACCCGACCCGACCCCACCCCCGATTTTCAAAAAAAAAAAACCGACCCTAAAAAATCGGGTCGGACCGAAACCCGTCGGGTACGGATTTTTTTGCCTTCCCTACTCTGGGTTTCCGTTCTCTGTCAAACACAGCAAACATAGAAACACTAACTGTAAAAAAGAAACTGTACCAAATATGTTTTTTTTCATGTTTGCTGTTTCTCACACAATCGCCCTTCCTTTTTTAGGCTTTTTTTTTATTTTTTATTTTTTGTTCTCATTTCTCTATAACCTAGTACGATTAATTAGGTGTTATCGAGACCACCGTTAGATATTTGGATCTCACTACTCACCCAATCACCTTCCTCCTTGTTTCCAACTGTTACCAACAAGCCACGGTATGTTTGGCTTTCATTTCATTCCCAAACTATTTCCATGTCAAGTAGTTGCATAATTTTATCTTAATTTTTGTGTACAAATTTGGTTTAGGTTATAAATTTAATTCGACAGGAAAATGGTGACGTCGGTTTAACTTGGATAATATTTGGAATCCAACTCGTTCAGTTGTTCATGGTCAAATTTGTCGCTTTAAACAATATTTTAAAACTAAGTTTGAATTCAAATTTAAGTATGTAATTTGATTTTCTTTAGTTTAAAAAATAAAACTACATAGAAATCAAGTTGAGTTTCAACTTGCAAATCTAACTTTCAAATCTTGGATTCTATGATGAAGTCAGGTTCAATGGTCTATATCTTATAACTATTATTGGAAGGTTGCTTTTTTATATCTTTTAAAGTATCTTTCTTATAATTTATTTTGCATTTTTTTATAATTACTTGTTAAAATTAGTATTTTTAATAACATTTTATTTCTTAAATTTCTTAATAAATTAATGTTTTAATAAATATCTTTGTAACAGCAACTACATGAATTAATTATTAGTTTCACTGATCATGTTAAAATCTCGATTAAGCCTTTTGTTAATTACCCCAAACACGCCCCATGAATATTGCACGGATACCACCTATCCAAAAACAATGGGAAAGTGAGAAACCTCCACGTGACCACCAAAACTTTCTTTTTTTTTTTGTCGGACAAAAAGCTTACCAAACCCACGCACTATCAAAGCAACGGTGACACACGCTCTCAAATAGTTGAGGTCTCACTTTCTCAAGCTACCAAAGGCAGCCGTTACCACCACACCTTTCTCCGAGTAAACAACACAAGAGCTGGAAATAAAAGAGGTAGAGAGAAATGTGGAGCCTCTTTTTACTATAAATCGATTCGGAGATTCGACCCTTTCGATCGTCGGACAATCCTTGCTGATAGTCCAAGGTCCCCTGAAGCTATCAGGAAAGACTTCTTAGGGTTTTGCGGCGAGAGAAGGACTTAAAATTTTTTTTACTGTTTTCTTGGTTTTCGATGGCTTCGGAGGATGTGAAGAGTAGTGAATCGGCGGTTTCGACGATCGTGAATCTAGCCGAGGAGGCGAAGCTCGCGAGGGAGGGCGTTAAGGCTCCTAGCTATGCTATTCTTAGCATCTGCAAGTCTTTCGTTGCCGGCGGCGTCGCCGGTGGAGTGTGAGCTCTCTCTTTTTAGTGTTTGTTTGAGAAGATGGAAAACGTTGACGAGAACATTGAATTTCTCAAATTTTAGAAGAGGAAAATAAAAATGAAAATAGTTTTAGAAATATATCTTTTAGTTAATTTATTCTTTTTTATGCAGGTCTCGAACTGCTGTTGCTCCTTTGGAACGTTTAAAAATATTACTTCAGGTTCATTTTGTTTTAATTTCTTTGTTTTTTTATTTCAATTAAGAAAAATAAAAATTTCAATTTCTGAATTGATTAACCATTTTGCAAAAAAAAAAAAAAAATGCAGGTTCAAAATCCACATAGTATAAAATACAATGGAACGATTCAAGGCTTGAAGTACATTTGGAGAACAGAAGGTTTTCGTGGATTATTTAAAGGAAACGGTACTAATTGTGCACGTATTGTTCCAAACTCTGCTGTCAAGTTCTTCAGCTACGAGCAAGCTTCAAAGTAGGGCTTCTCAACACTGCTCAATTTAACTTGTTATTTATTGTTCTGTTGGTTGGCTGATTTGACTTTATCTGTCGATTCTCTTTGTATTGCTAAGTTCGCCTCGGTCTATTATACTGAAATTGTTTTTCTAGACTAATGTTTACTTAGTCCCTAGAATATTGATGATCACTGATCAGTCCATGTGTGACTGTGAACAAAGTGAAGTTCATATTAATACTAGGCATAAATGTTTTTGGTAGCGCAATTGCAACCTTTCAGCTTAAGGTTCCTTGGGGTTGCAAAGTTCTCTTTCTTTTACACTGCTCCTACCCCACATGTTCAAGTTTTGAATTGAAGTAAATGGGTCTGTTTATCTCGGCTTATTGTTCCATGTTATTGTTTGTAACAGGGGAATCCTTTATCTGTATCAACGGCAAACTGGCAATGGTATGACTAATCTTGTTACCATCTTTTTACCGAGCAATCATCTCATGTTCACATTTATGATATACAGAATTCAGTTACGATTTTAGGTTTTAATTAAGAAACTATGACTTTTGTCCCTTACATGCTCATATCGTCTCATCCGCATAATAATAATAGTAATATAAAAGCATTGGATTTTGGAAATCTTGTGGAACTTGTTATTACAGGATATATTATTGTCAATAAGTTCATTATTGTTTTGAAGGACCATATTCATGGGATAGAAAACCAATTAGATGTTATCATATCTATCATAAAATGTGTATCCAGATTTCCTTGAAATCTTGCAAACTTATATAGGCTTTTTCCCTTTTTGCTTTTAATTCTGCAGTAGATGCTCAACTCACTCCTCTTTTACGCCTTGGAGCTGGAGCATGTGCCGGAATAATTGCCATGTCTGCAACTTACCCAATGGACATGGTACGAGGCAGGCTCACTGTACAGGTATTGTCTTTTAAATATCGTTTTACTTGGCAGGTGCATGATGCTTCACTTGTTGGCTTAATTTATCTCAATATTATCAAGATGAGGAGACTACTTTGTAGTAAATAATAAACATCAGACATAACTTTCGTATTTCCTTGATTTATTTGTGTTAGAAGAAAATTTGAAAAATACTTTAATTCTTCAAAGTAAATATTAATTTTCATTTTAAGCTGCTGCATTTTCTTTCTTTGATATCAGGGATGGTCTCTTGTAGTTTGGCTACATGAGCATCTAATCATTTAATTGTGCTTATTGCAGACAGAGAACTCTCCTTATCAGTATAGAGGAATGTTTCATGCTCTGTCAACTGTGTTGCGGCAAGAAGGCCCACGGGCATTGTACAAGGGTTGGCTTCCTTCTGTCATTGGAGTTGTGAGTCGTTTATCTTCTTCTATTTGGAGTTTCATAGTTAAATGGTTTTTGAATGTTATGGCTGTTATGAGAGCATGCCTTCTAGACAGAGCATAAGGGCTTGGAAGAGAAAGAAATGGGGGAGGGGTGAAGCATCCTTAATTCCTTATTTCTGAGGGTCACGTGATTATTAAACCTAGACTCACTGAAAAATCAGCTTCTATCCCCATTTATTTTCTAGGGAATTTTCTTATGGTCCTTTCTGTAGTTGTCTTCACCTTTTATGATTTTAAGTTTCTTGGTTTTCAGTCTGCTCCATCACATTCCTGTGAATTGTGCATAATGCTCGTGTCCCCATTTTGGGTTGTCAAAGGGGATCACTAAGTTATCTGTTGTTGAATTTACTATCTAACCTGACAAAGAGAATGCTTTAATTATTTTTGGCATGTTGATTTTGGATTTATTTTATGTTTGCAGATACCTTATGTGGGTCTGAACTTTGCTGTGTATGAATCTCTAAAAGATTGGTTAATCAAAAGTAAACCATTTGGATTGGTTGAGGACTCCGAGTTGAGTGTGACGACCAGGCTTGCTTGTGGGGCTGCTGCTGGAACTGTTGGCCAAACTGTTGCTTACCCTCTTGATGTGATTCGCAGAAGAATGCAAATGGTAGGATGGAAAGATGCTGCCTCAGTTGTCACTGGTGATGGAAGGAACAAGGCCCCTCTTGAATATGCTGGCATGTTTGATGCATTCAGGAAAACTGTTAGGCATGAGGGCTTTGGAGCATTATATAAGGGTCTGGTTCCTAATTCTGTGAAGGTCAGTGTCTTTTGATTCACTGATGTTCACTTGTTGATAATGCGGGAATAACACTTTTTCAATTTTATTGATACTATCTGAAAAGAAATAGTTCAGACTAGAGATGGCTTACAAATAGTTTGCATGGGGAATATTTTCATCTCTATTCTTTTTCCTTCTTAAACTGTCAGAAGAATAACAATCCTCGTGTTTCTTGCATTATCATAGACCAAATATTATGACTTTATCAAGACCTCTGCATTATTTTGTTTTTGATCCTTTATGAGTTTATGCATGGATGTAGGCAAGACTGGATTTAGTTAAAAGTAAAAATATTGATCCTGTGTTGGTGGAATGCATCAAATTGCTATCTTCTATGTGCCCTTAAAAATTTGCACCTGTAAGCTTTTTGCATAACTGATGTAAATGACATTATTTTCCTGAGAACGGTTACTCGTAGAAGTCTTATAATCCAGTAACATCTTCATCCTTTCTTGGTTGTACACCAGCACTACACTACTTTAAGTTGTTATATAGTATTGAAATGAACCTACTTGATAACTTGCTATTCTTTTTTATGGATCTTGAATAAACTTGATGTTTTTTTTTCTACAATTGAATATACAAATATATCTTGTTCTTCAATGGTTGATATTTAATATTGTTTATTCGCTTAATTTTTCCAGGTTGTACCATCAATAGCGATTGCTTTCGTGACATACGAGGGGGTGAAGGACATTTTAGGAGTTGAGATCAGGATATCAGACTGAACTGGGCCCAATTCAACTTAATGTTTATTGGATGTTTTCTATTTTTGTAGGCAAGGGAACCTTTTTGTCTCTCAAATAATGAGTTTAGAAACTTGTACGAGCTTGTCCATAATTTCTTCCCATGGTTTCCTATGTTTCCATGTGAACGCTGTAGGTTTCAGCTCCTCATTCATGTGCTGTGTCAATAAGGATGCAGGAACAACGCCATTAACGCATTTGCCTGCCTCTGCATAAAAGTTGAGAAAGCAATTTCTAAGCCTTTTCTGCAATATTAATTGTGTTCTTTCTGTGTTGAAGACATTTTATGTCAATAAGTAGTTTGATTGAGCTTTAATATGAAGTGAAATAAACTTTACAAGTTAAATGCAGTGTAAACTAGGTATGGTCCCTTCAAACGTTTTTGTCGTTCAAAATATGAGTTTAGAAATAACATGCGACATATGCCTATTCTGTATCTGAAAATTATCCTATAGCAGCATGTTTAATGGTTGTCTGATGACAATGACGATGGCAGGAGAATTGTCTGATTGTAAATCTTCATCCCACCAACAAACTTTTACATGCTATGTCACAATACACGCAAAAAAAAATAAAAAAATCTAGAGGATATTTTACATGCTACGAATACAAAAATGTAAGTCATAAATCTCCTCAGCGCCTTGATCAGCAATTTCCTGTTTCGCTGTTCCCATTTATAACATTACCGTCTACATTTTCCTGCAATGTCTAAGCACACAAAACACATGAAGAGGAAATTATATGTTAGATTCCTAACGTGTCAAATATTTGTTCCCATTTCCCAATACATAACGCACAAAGGAAATAGATACTGTAAAATCTAAGCACCTGCAATCCTTGTTTATTGTTTGGGTCTTTTGCGTTTGTCGTTTCATGAACTTTACGTCGTTTGTTTCTCGTTTTCTAGCATGAAGCCTGGGTATGAAGGCCTTGCCCTTATTAGCTTCATGATCCTGGATATCTGTCTTCTCGGTGTCGACCAAATTTAAGCAATCTTCGTTGCATACAGAGCTTAAAGAAAGAGCCACTATGAGGAGATTCAAATCAATTAGAAATGTTGCGTTGGGCTCCTGCAAACCATCAATCTCAATGTCATGCTGACTTTCATGCTTTGTTTCGTTTTCAGGTTGTTCCATGTTGTTCTCTCTCCAACCCTGTGCCAACAACATCTTAATTATCACATATTTCCATACCCTAAATAAAATCATCTCTCATAATTTTAACAAATTATTGCAAACATGTTGTTAGGTTTAGAAGATTTAGCCCTTGATCGACCAAAATCAATGCCTGGAAGACCCCCCCCCCAAAAAAAAAAAAAAAAAAACAGAACTTTACCTGGGTATTACTGCGACGATAGAATCAATTGCATCGAATACCCTAGCAAGTAAAACCACATGTCTATTCTCCTCATAAATGATTCTGTTCACTGGATTTTTTTCCCATTTGATGGTGGGTTGTTAAGATTCTTTAACCCACCTGCACTCTTCTTGATGGTTACCAAAAAAGATTTATAAGAAAAAAGAAGTGCAAGCGGTGGCTCATGATCTGTAGAGCCATATTCAGCTATTTCAACCTCTTTGATGCACCAAAAGAAGCCAGAGAACCAGACCCCTCAAATTAGTTACAGGTTAGTTAAAACAGTTTTAGTACTAATCATTGGTGAAGAAATTTTCATCTAATTGGGCCAAAGATCCCAAAAATTCTAGGCCCAACCCAATAATCCATCGCACTGCACGTGCTAGCCGCCAGTGAAGGGCCTACAATCTACGTGGCTCGTTAATAACTACTCGTTCCTTGTTCAGTCAAGTTGCCGACAGCGTAGGCTAGAACGCCATTGGAGTTAAAGAAAATTACAGAAGAGCCCATTCAGTAGCTGCTTTGTTTGAAAATTGCAGCAAAAATCCAACACCCTGCGAAGCTGTCGACAAACTGACCATGTAACCCCGACACGGCCACACCCTCAACCGAGTTCAAATTTGATCAAATTGCCTGCATGTGTCACAAGTGGGTCCTTTACGCGTTTCTTTTTTCTTTCTTTATGTCTGCATTTCCAGGCCTTGTTTTTATATATCTATCATAGCATTATTTAAAGCGCCGGCGAAGAAAGCCGTTGGAGTCTTGGCTTGGATGGCAGATGTGGTAATAATGAATAAACCAGTGGCATTTATAAAAAAAGTTGCCCAAGTTTTTTTTAAAATAATTTTTTTTTTTTGACCATATGCAGGGAAAAAATATCGTGGCTGCACCATTTTCCTCACATTTGCGACGACTCTGAGCTCAGCAAAGTTGTTGAAGCAACCTAGTCGTCTTTAATTTTTCCCGTAGAAAAAAACCAAGTCAATAAATTTCATAAAAACAATTAATTAATTAATTCCGAAATTTATAGGCCAAACAAAAATGAAGCAGTTTAACTAAAAAATTATTTTTTTCTAGAAGACCAAGAAAGTCGTGTCCTATTTCGGACGCTGTTTGATGTGTCTGAGAACTGAGAAGATATTATTATTGATAATATCATTCTTTTGCTGACCCCCAAAATATTTTATACTATTTTTTGTTTCCATTTCTGGCAAGTTTACTAGTTTCTTCTTTCTTTGTGGTTTCCAATTGAGACTAGCCGTTAACTGTTCTCTGCTCAAAGCGTAAGTTAATTTTTTATTTTTGGCTTTGAACATGATTATTTTGATTTTTTTTTCCGATCTGTTCGATTTTGATTGTTAGGTAAGATATTTTCATGTGATCAAGTTGGTTAATTTAATTCTTTAAATCTCTCAATTTAATTTTTTTAAAATTCAAAGCCATATTATTCGGAAAAAATTTAATGCTAAAAAATCAGGCCTTGAATAGAAGATGACATCTTTTGTCCAAAAAAAAAAAATAGAGGATAACATCTTGAATGTATGATTCAACATCTGTTCCTTTTTATTTTTTGGGTGTAAAGACAATGAATTTCTCGCTTTTCACATCCTTTAATTCTTATTTTTCATTATATTTGTTGTTTGTAGTTCTTATGGTAATTTACTATAGAGTTCAAAATTTGATTGAATTGGGTTATATTTGGATAGTATGGAACGAGATGGGCAAGAAATGGCTGCAAATGAAGTGGCTGAGAATGTTGAATTCAAAAGAAAAGACTTAACTTTTCCCTTGAAACCAGAAGGTCACATTCTGATGGAATCACCAATAACATATGGATCACAGAGAAGCAAATGGCCAGTGAATGATTCGAGTGGCTTTGCACCTCCATGTCCTAGCACTTCTTCTATGAATGAGACTGAGACTGGTATAATAGTGGAAGAATTGACTGTGGAAAACTATAAGAGCTCAAGCAAATTAAGGCAGAGCCAGTTGCAACGAATGTATCGCGTGGAAAGTAGGTCGGAATGTGAGGCTTTAGATGAAAATGTGGATCATGTGTTGTTGAGAGCGAAAAAGCAGCTTGCGAGAATGTCTTATGAGAACCATAAGAGCAAGGATATTGATCAAACACCAGGAGAAATTGCTTTGCATTTGAAGGCTACCGACAACTTGGCTATCTCAAGCCATACATTATCGGTTGCGGCTACTAGATTGAAAACGTCATCATCTAGGCCTAGCTTTTCTCAGTTATTTGTAAAGAACGGTTTGAAAGGAAAGGGCGTTATCAGAAGAGATCCAGAAACTTGCACAACTGCTGATAATGACAGGCCTTGTTTACTTGGGGTTGATGGGTCTAATAATGAGCTTTGCACCAATGGGATTAGTTTGAGAGAATGGCTAAAACCAGGGGGTCGAAAAGAAGATAAATTTGAAAGACTGCTTCTATTCAGGCAGATTGTGAAGTTGGTGGATTCTGCACATTCTCAAGGAGTTGTCCTGCAAGACTTAAGACCATCCTGTTTCTATTTATTATCATCAAATAGGGTTATGTATACAGGTCTATCTGCCAAGAAAGGACTAGAGTCTGCTGTAGATAATGATTTGAGGAGGAAAAGGTCCCTGGAAAAAGGTATGAATGCTGTCAGTTGCAGTCTAGGTGCAAAGCAGCTAAAGCTCAATGAGAACATGCAGTCTCTTGGATACAAAACAGAGTTCACCTCTCATGTTGGATCCAGGAGTGAGATGGAAAATAAGATTGGTTCTCATACATCAATTAAGCGAGATTCTAACTGTTTTCCTATCCAGCCTCCAATTTTCCGCTACCCTACAACTTCTGTTGCGCAGTCTATTTCTGCAGCTATACAATTGGAAGAAAGGTGGTATGCTTGCCCAGGGGAGCACAATGGGAGAAGCCTCACATTTTCAGCAAATATATATAGCCTTGGAGTTTTTCTTTTTGAGGTGTGGAGTTTTATTAATATTTCATATTTGTTAGTACTTTTGGAATCCTTCTTTGCCTTTTTCTTTATAGTATATAATGTATTTGAACATGGTGTTAGGTCTAGCAAACTAATAAGACTTGTTTTTGAGTCTTATAACCATAAATTTTAACTTGAATTCACCTGAGATTTTAGTCAGAATTAATCTTATAAGACTGTATTATCAAGGTATGTGAAAATGTCCAGTCCCCTCAGGCTATAAAGACAGAATCCTTGCACATATCAGTTTTATTTTAGTTCAGGAGTTAGGTATTCTGTTATAATGGCTTATCCATTTTTCTAGTACTTGATTATTGAAATTGAATAAACAAAAAGGGCACTGAATTTATTACCACAATTTGAGCCTATTAGGGAAAAGAGAAAAAGGAAAAATGTGATTCACAAAAATTCAGGAAATATTGATTGTATTCTCTCACTATAGGGTGAGACATTCTTCCTCACAGAACCTGGTGCCCCTCCTTCATCTTTGTCGCTTTGAAGCCGGGGTCTCCAGTTCCAGTGATATCTTTCAACAGAATAATTACACCTTAAATTGTGTCATTGGAAGACTGACCTTATAACTGCTAATCACATGAATCTTGACTTTTACCATTGTTCATATAGAGCAAGTGAATTATTATAATCTATAGATATGTTTATTACAACCTGCTGTTTGTGTGTTCCCCTGCGGCCTGCAGCTTGAGCATGCATTCAACACATAACTTTTCTAGAATGCATCTGAAAAGTTTTGCCATGACAAAAGCAGGTTTTTGTAATCTTGTAATTTCTCTCCTATAGTGCTCAGTTATAAAAATGCAATTTAGAAATAAAAATTCTCAGTTGCTAGACTTTCAACCCTAGAGTTGATAGAAAGTCTATCCCTTCAACTAACGTGGGCTGTTTCTATCAGTTGCTATGCTGTTTTGAATCAATGGAGCAGCATTCTGCAATGATGTTGGATTTGAGCCAGCGGATTCTTCCACCAAATTTCCTTTCAGAAAGTCCAAAGGAAGCTGGCTTTTGTCTTTGGCTTCTTCATCCTGAACCTCTGTCTCGCCCAACAACTAGGTATCCATGAAGCTTTTATTATCTGTCATCATCTGTAGTAACTATTAGTTTTATAGAATTTTTATTTATTTCAAAACTGGTAAATTTAAAAAGCCTTCATGGGTAAAAACATGATAGTATTATTGGAGGTTGCAATTAAGAAGAGTTAACGGTTGGTATCTTCCATTCTCAGTTCCTGTGCTAATCCTAGCTTAAACAATTTGATACTTTTGTAGTTGTAGCTGTACAGTCTAACACGTGCAGTGTAGTGGATATAAATGCTGAAAAAAGATAAATCCTCCTACTCTTTCCCTGTTAAAATACAGCTTAGATATTCTGGTATTATGCATAAAATGAAAAAAAGATATTCTGGTATAATTGCTTAGGTTTAGGTGTACTTGTCCATTATTAACATTCATGCCTCTGCTTCCATAACCAAAGCAATGTGTTTTTTCTGCGCATATGGGATCGTTTGAGCAGGCCCAAGTAGAAGCTAAGCTGTCATTTTTGTATTTTAAAATATTAAGCATCATATAAGTACTTGAATGCAAGAAAACAGTTCAGGTAGAGGTTAAAATAGGTTGTAGCATTCACTGGTTGCGTATTTCTTTTGCTAAAATGCACATAAATAATTGTTTTTACTGTAATTTCCTGGCTTCCTAAATAAAGTGATGTTATTACAATTGCAAGTGCTTGTACTTCATTTTGTTGGTAAGTAGGTTATGTTTGTATAATGCAATACATGAAGATTTAAGGTAGATTCTGTTTGTTTTAGTCCTTTAAGTACATTTAAATTCTGTACAAAAACAGGGAAATCTTGCAGTCTGCTTTATTTGGTGGATCCCAAGAATGGTTTTGTGGGAACAATTTATCAGAATCTCCCAATAGTGATATGGCTGAATCAGAGATATTGCTTCATTTTCTAACCAGACTAGAAGAACAAAAGCAGAAGCTTGTCCCCAAATTGATTGAAGAGATTAGGTTCTTAGAAGAAGATATTAAGGAGGCTGAGAGAGGGCACCTATTAAAGACATCCTCAGTTGTCCCTCAGATACAAAATAAATTTCCTGATGCAGGAAAAATGCATTTGCATTTTGAAGGCCCCGGAACTTCAGTTGCTCACCATATATCAAATATGAAGTCAGATGTAAATAAAGGATGGTTGTCAAAAAATATCACGCAGCTTGAGCATGCCTACTTCTCTATGAGATCCCAAATCCATTCTTTAGAAACTGCTGCTGCAGCATGCTCTGATAAAGATTTGCTGAAGAATAGAGACAGGTTGTCGGAGTTGCAAAGTAGGAATGGCCAGCTAAGAACGAATCAGAAATATATTGATCCCCTCGGGAGCTTTTTTGAAGGTTTGTGCAAGTTTGCTTGCTTCAGCAAATTTGAAGTCTGTGGAACAATAAGAAATGGAGACCTTCTAAAGTCTGTAAACGTGATATGCACTCTTAGTTTTGACCGTGATGAGGATTATATTGCTACTGCTGGAATATCGAAGAGAATCAAGGTTTTTGAGTTTGATGCATTTATGAATGACTCTATTGATATCCACTATCCTGTGGTTGAGATGTCAAACAAGTCAAAGATTAGCTGTGTTTGCTGGAACAACTACATAAAGAATTATTTGGCTTCAACAGATTATGATGGTGTTGTCCAGGTAAAATCCTGTTTTAATTGAAAGACACCTTGATGTTACGTAAGTCAAATAAGGCATTTAGGCATCCCAACAACCATTATATATGGTACTAACTTTTCTTAGAAGTAGATGATCCATCGTCGTTTTGGTACTATTCCAGTAGAGTGGTAAATTCTTTTTCATGATCAATATCATAGTCCTTAGTGCATTTTATTGACTTCTATACAACTTTCGTTCACAATTTCATAGTCAAAGGATGAAATTCTATGTTGGCTGATTGAAAATATTCACCCTTAAATCGTCATCCCTCTCAAGAATGCTGCTTGGTTAATTGATTATAATACCTAATGAAGCCAGCATATTTTATTTTTTGAAGAACTAATTATTGCTTTGTGCCTCAAGTGGTTCATGATTGATTCAGATTTATGGACTTTAGCTGGACTCATAGTTGAATGCTTTTCTGCAATATATCCTGCTAAAGCTATGTAAATAATCTATTTAAGAGCCATTTGTATAGTTCTTCTTTCTTCTTTCACCAATTTGATTAAGTGGCAAATGGAATTCATTGTGGTGATAGGTTTCTAGTGCATTTAACTTTAAGACTACCTGAACTGGAGATGTATCTCACAAATTTCAACTCTGTATTAGAGTTGGTTTATGTCTCTGACTCACATACTTCTACCACACACAACTTTTTGGGAAGTATTTGCGTAGCTGCTGAATTATGTTTTGAAGTATTGCATTGAAGAGTAATTGTAACTATTGAATTCTTTGTAAATGTTTAATTTGCCTTCTATTTTGTGTTGGTTTACAGTGTTTTATTATTGAATTAAGGTTGTTAAACGTTCTTGCCATGTATTTTATTGATAAAATGGTATCTTATCGGTATAGACATGGGATGCGGGAACTGGTCAAGGATTCTGTCAATACACAGAACACCAAAAGAGGGCATGGTCTGTTGACTTTTCTCAAGCTGACCCAACAAAGTTTGCCAGTGGAAGTGATGACTGCTCTGTGAAATTTTGGAGCATTAATGAGGTATGTTTTCCTGCCTCACTTGTCATGCAGCATGTAGAGGTTTGGTGTTTTCACAAATCAGGGTTGATTTCCCTCTCTCATTCATTTAGTAAATCTCTAGTATATTCTATTTAAATCACCATTTAATGAATATCCTTTAAAATGACTGTCTATATAGTTGGTGACACCTGGTATCAAGCTTTGGAGCATATTCATGTTAATCTACCAGCATAAGAGTTGGTTGATTTCCTTCTCTAATTCATTTAGTAAATCTCTAGTATATTTTGTTTAAATCACCATTGAATGAATATCCTTTAAAATGACTGTCTATTAAGTTGGTGACACCTGGTATCGAAGCTTATTGCTATTTATCACATGAAGATTATATCCTGGGATTGACTGTTCTCCTTTCTAAAAAGAGTAGTTCACTTCTCTTTTTTTTTCAACAAAGTTTATGATGAAAATTTTGAATGAAATTATTGCAGAAGAGTTCTCTTGGCACCATATGGAGCCCTGCAAATGTCTGCTGTGTTCAGTTTTCTACTTTCTCTCCTCATTTGTTGGCATTTGGATCTGCTGATTACAAGGTGTATTGCTATGATCTCCGGCACGCTAGAATCCCCTTGTGCACATTGGCTGCCCATGAAAAAGCTGTTAGTAATGTGAAATTCTTGGATTCCAAAACCCTTCTTTCTGCATCCACTGACAGCACCCTGAAGTTGTGGGATCTTGACAAAACTGGCTCAGATGCATTGTCCTCCAATACTTGTGCCTTAACCTTTAGTGGTCATAAAAATGAGAAGGTTAGATATTTTCTCTACATCTCTTAAATTTTTGAGCATTTGGTATATTTTTAAGTGCTAACCCTTTGTTTTCTGCTTGATTAGAACTTTGTCGGTTTATCTGTTTTGGATGGATATATAGCATGTGGATCAGAAACTAATGAGGTAAATACAGTTAATCACGAATAAAGTGCTGAAATCTGTAGTTCTAGTCTGGATTTTCTTTATTCTTAGTGTTTACGAATGGCGACAATACACATGGCTTGCATGCATGCATAATTGACCAATGCTAAACTGATCTCCAAATATTATTTTCCCTTTTGCAGGTTTATTGTTATCATAGATCTCTGCCAATGCCAATCACTTCCTATAAGTTTGAGTCTGTTGATCCTATTTCTGGGCATCAAATCACTGATGAAAATGGACAGTTTGTTTCAAGTGTCTGTTGGAGACAAAAGTCAAACATGCTTGTTGCTGCCAACTCAGCTGGAAGTATAAAACTACTGAAACTAGTATGATGAAAGCCTTTTCCCAAAACTAGTTTTGCTCAATAATCTATTAGTAGCTTACCCGTCCTAAAATTAGATCATATGTACTTTGGAAAAACAATGAGTTGGAAGCAGAAAGTTGCTAAGGTTGAAGGGTAGAATGAGAGCCAAAACTCGTGTAGCCTCCCTGTAACTATGAGTCTGCCTTCAATTGAGTGTGCCTATGCTCACAAAGATACTAGTTTGCCGCTCCTGGTGAGTGCATTGACATGACTTCTGGTTTCTGCTAAAACTACTAGGGCCATCAGAGTTTGGCATCTTTCTGTTAAGAAAATGTGAATGGAAGTCAACAAGACATGTCCATAACTGTTGCAAATCAGGTAGCAACCCCTGGGAATTGGAGGTTCTAGACTAAGATGATAGCAGAGGTGGGCTTAAGTTTGATGACAACAAGGATGAGGAATAACATCAAGAACATTCTTTTGGTGTAATTGTGAATGAGCAAAAACATTGCTGGTACACTAGTAGTGGAAGAATCCTCCCCCCCCCCCCTCCCCCGCCCTGGGAGATTTCATGTTTAAGAAACACCCAGGGTTGAGATATGAGTGCTTCTCAAGAGGAATGCAGCTGTCAGTTTTTGGCAAGGTATTTTCACGAGCATTTTGCTTTTCAATTTAGAAAAATTTGTTCCTTTATGATCAATTAAATAAAGTTCTCGCTGTTGCCAATAAATAGATAATTAACATTTTTGATTGAGATGTAGTCAGTAGGTTTTCAGTGGATTTGATTTTGAGGGACCTTTCGACCATCCTGAATTGGAAATGCCTTTAGATTTAGCTTTTATGGTTCTATTTATGGTCTATAGTATTGTTGTCAGGGCCAATAGTCTGCAATTATAAACTGTTTTCATGAATTTAATGGCAATATTAGCATTTGATGATTTTACTTATATGGTTCCTTCTGCTTAAGGATGAAATGATCAAGCCTCTGCCTGCATGAAACAGGTATAACCATATAGATCAATTGAGTACAATTATACAAAACTGCATATCCCATTCTGCAATTTATCTAAGGGATAATAAAGGTATGAAACAAAATTGATTTGCTTGTTGAACTTAAGAATTTATTCTTTCTGTTGAACATCTTCTTTGTAGATAAATTGTTTCTGCTAAAGTTGTGACAAAAATTGTTTTATGTTTCATAAAATAAAGACTATGATCGTTCAGCTCAAATGCTAAATATACAGATGTAAGGAGTCAGCCATTGCAAGCTAGCATGTTCCAGCCTCAACATAATACTCTGAAAACTCAATAAAGTCTGAGCCCCTACCTTTTAGGATTGGCTGTATGAGTCCTATCTTTGTCACTCCGTTTCCTCTTCAGCTAGAGGCGTTTATTTTGCAATTATTGATCTGGGAAAGCATTTCATCACTGAAAACTAGATCAGGCTTTTTTTCAGTGTCTAAGCAATGAACCTGATAAAGCTAGGAGAGCTCAGAATCTGAGGCATGACCAGATGCTGTTTCCGTAATCTTGGACTTGTTAAAAGTAGCCGGCTTTCTGTTTTCATTCTTAAACTGCGCCGGCAATGGGTCATTGGAGGAGGCCTTAATGATCTTCCTTTTGGTGTCACTGGAAAAAAAAAAAAAAAGACGCAGGTTGTTAGCATAAGCATAATGAAGCAAATATTTGCTAAAGAAAAAATTTGTAGGATTTAAACTCAAGGATTATAAATTTAGTTGGCAATAATTGTTTGAATTACAATGTTTAAATTTTGATGTGAAACAATAATTTGGTGTTGTGCCATATTATTTCATGAGGAAAAACATGAAAAAGAAAATGATTGAGAATGTGGCAGATTACCTGGATGTTTTGATCTAATATCTGGAGATTTCTTCAATGTGGAATGTCTCCTGGGCAACGTCTCTGGTGAAGGGAAGGACCTTCTCTCAGAGGTACTGGTGACAACAAGTCATCAGCAGTCGCATTTTCATTGCCACTAACAGAAGTTCTGTCACTTCCTTATTCTGAAGTGTCTTTGGGCGTAGCTCCTCTTTTCTCTTTTTCCAAAACTCTATAGGCAAACATCTGAAAGGGGATTTGTGACGTGGTAATGGATTGGAAGCCTCCCATGTGGGGAATTTCCGTTGAAGCCTTGAATCAATTTCGCAGCATTCCACTACTGGCATTGGTAATTCTGACTCGTTGTTGTAATCAGGGTTCATTAGAGTGGACTGTTTTGCATGCCGAAGAATTCTGCAGATGGATGAGAAGCTAGGCCGCAGATTTGGATCAGCATGCCAACATCGCTTGGTCAGGTTTGTTGCAGATTTTGGTGACTGGAAAGGAAATAATGGCCTCTCCCCTGCCCTAATGTTTCGGCTCATTTTGTCCCCTTGATGATGGCTATCTTCAAATGGAACTTTTCCAGTTAGAAGCTGAAAGCAAATCATTCCAAAGCAGTATACATCAGCCTTTTCTGTGTACTTTGAAGTCCCTTTACTTGCTGTCTGCTCTTGCTCACGTAGAACCTCGGGAGCATGCCAGATAAATGGTTGGGTTTCATTCTGGTTGGGTGTGCTTTTTTCTGGTAATTTAACTATCGAAGATAAGCCAAATCCCGAAACCTTTGCCTGCACGTACCCTTCCGTAGACATTCCTCTCGACTTAACATGAATGTTGGAAGGATTTAAATCGCCATGGTAGATTTTATTTTGAGTGGAGATATTCCATTCCTCTTGCTATCTGAAGCATTAGATCAATAGCAACTGGAAGAGAAAATGGCACTATTCGTTATCTTGGGCCACAAATCTCTTTTATGCACTTGCAGAGGCTTTTATTCATTAGTTCCATCACCAAATGGCATTCCTTCTTTTCATCATCAGTAAATCCACAATGGAAATGCAGTATGTTTGGGTGGAAAAGAGATAATAAAGAAGAAATGTCAGGAGCTACTGCTTCTACATCTCCAAAAAATTGTCTCAAAACAAAGCTTTCACCTAACCAGTAGACTTCCTTATATTGACTCCCATTTCCAAGCCTCAATCTTACCTGATAGTACTTTGACCCCAGTAGGATCGAACTCAGTAAAAGCTTTCCATTCAAAGACTCTGAACTATCTAAGTTTCTCAAAAGCAAATCTGCAAGTTTGCACTCTTGCTTTCTTGAACCCGGGTTTTTCTTTTCCAGGATTTTATTTAGAAGGATCCATCTATCTTCTTTCCAAACGGTGTCAACCCTATTGCAAAAATCTTGAGTAACAAGGTATTGCTTTGCAAATTTCCACTGGAAAAGTTGAGGATCAATCCATTCTTTATGGTACTTATTTGAGTACACCTGTCTCTTCTTTTGTATTTCATCTTGTTCCCAACCTGCACATAATTCTGCAGCAGTTTCGATTGCTTCACTGACAACCGGAATGCAGGAAAGCAAGTCATTGATATGCAACTCAACACAGTCCGAATTCTGATAGAGAGTTATGGCTTTAGCCCACCAGTCTTCGGATTCCAAGCTCTGCCTGATGTAGGCTTCCCCTTCTTTGAAAACCCTGTGGAGCTCTCTTAAGGGCATTTCAAGAACTTTCCATTTCATGTTCCTTTCTTCAAATTTCAAGTTCTCCCTCATTTCCTCTGCTATCGATTTGTATGCAAAACTAAACATATCGATTAACAAAACGGATTGCCTCTGGTTGATTTGGATGTTGTCAATGCCTCCAAACTTCGTAACACCTCCCCTATCTGCCGAAATTGCTTCATTTTGGTCTAAAACCAGGAGACTCTATCGAAAGGGTATATGTTAATAATCATATTCATGACAAATACGAACTAAAAAGAAGAATCTAATAAAACAGATGTGAGATTAAACATAACATTGCTTACCATAGAAAAAAAAAAAAAGGTTAAAACGGCTTCGTTTCAGATCAAGGAAGGTGAAAGAAACTCAAGCTTCCTCCCCGGCTCAAGATACAGGTTTCCTTCTTCTGATACCAAAACAAAACCAAAAAGAATTCAAAGCTTTCTTTAGAATTGGAGTGTGCCATATCCCACAACCAGTAGCAAAACTAAGAACTACTAGTTTCAATCCTGCATCTTCCTCAACAGATTCAGCAAACGATAATGCAATTTTGAGAATAACTCAAAATTCTAAACCCGAAAAAGATCATATAAGAATCTATAAACCAAGATGTTAATGTAACGGATGTCAAAGAACAGAAAAAAAAAAGTGAAAAATTTCACTTTAACATCGGTGAGAACCAACCGAAAATGAATTAGATTTAGTAGTACTAGTTTTTTGTTTAGCGGGGAAAATTGTGTGTTGGTGGTGACTGGTGTGTGATTGTAGCCGAAGTTGTTTGACGAGGAACTGACATGACCAAACACTTGTCAACTTCGTTGGTAATGGCACGGTGTGTTCCTGCGAGTTTCGATGTTTTTTTTTATTTCATTTTTTGTCATTTTCTAATGCTTTTTTTTTCTTTCTTTTTTCATAGTTTTTCAATTTCCACCCCGTCTTCTAAGCTGACAGCGCGTTCGGCCAAAGGGCAAACGTAATTTGTTTTTTTTTTTTTTAAATTTAAAAAAAAAAAGCAAAATTGAAGTTTTCCACAAGGGAATGCCCAAAGGGCATTCTAATGGCCCAACCCGAGAAAATAAAAAAAATCGGATCTGTGATCGGATCTGCTAAGCGGCCCAGTTAAGATCTCCATCCGGGATCGCAAACGCTGCGTTTCAAATATAAAAAGGGAGAAAAATACGAAAAACGGTGAGGCACAAATACGACGGCGTCGCCGCTTTCATCAGCTGTTCAGTGTTCGAACGGTGTGGACGTTGTCTCTGTCTCTGTACTCGTCGCTGATCTTGAAACTAGATGACAATACTTCTGTTTCAATCCGCGGATTGGAAGAAGTGAAAATGAAGTGTTATTTAGTAGCTTCTCTCCTCACCGTCCTCACCAGTTCTCAGGTCAGTTTTTTTTTTCTTTTACCACTACCCCTAATTCCCCTTCTTCATTTGGCTTTTTGCGCTCCCCAAAAGTTCCCTACTCTCCTCTCTCTCTCAAACCCCTAACCCTAATCACATGAAACAACGATTTGATCTATATACATTCTAATGTTTGGCAGGGGATTTTAACAACTCTATCGCAAAGCAATGGCAAATATAAATATGATTACGCCACCGTTCTTTTCCTTGCCGAGGTTTTCAAGGTGCTTTTTCAAATTTCCACTGAACTTTCTTGATTTCAGATCTAAAATAGAGTGTTAATGTTATAGTGATTTGTTTTTTTTTTTTTTTTGTTACAGCTTATTGTATCCAGTGTTTTTCTATGGAGAGAGTGCAATAAATCACCTCCTCCGAAAATGACAATGGACTGGAAGACCGGTCGATTGTTCCCTATTCCTTCTATCATTTACTTAATCCATATGTCCAATTTGCTACTCTTATGTATGTTGATACGTCGACGCATCAGATAATGGGAAATTTGAAGATTGTCACAACTGGAATTTTATTCAGGTGCTACTCTCAGTTTTTTAATTGAACTCTCTTTTTATGTATCATAACAATGTTCGATGTCGATGTTGTTCTCATGAATGAGTAGAAGCTATTTACGTGATTTAGTTTGTTTCTTAAGAGGAAGCTTTCTAATCTACAATGGATGGCCATCGTTCTATTGGCTGTTGGAACAACCACGAGTCAGGTACTCGGGTTGTCTAACTAAACCATGTATGTTTTGTACTGAGATTTGTGCCTGTGTTGACTTGTGATAAAAGAAAAGTTTATGGATACTTAAAATGTCGTCTACAATTAGTGTGCTAGAACACTAGTTACATTTTGATGCCAGATCAATATATCTCTGACTGTTGGAAAATTAGTAAAGGAGCAAGTACTATGTATTTTGCTCTGTCAAAACTTGAATCCCATGAGAGAAATGTGAAATCAGGCAATGATTTTACTTGATCTCAAATAAGAAATAAGTTGGAAGAATTAGATAATGTGATAGATTTCTTTGCACGTGGTAGAGTGAATAAAATGCTTTCATATATTTAATTGTGTTCAGAAAATTTTAAGGAAAGAGAAAAGGGGAGGGAGAATTAGGAGGAAAGGCTATGAGCAATAGTTAAGAACGCAGCGTCTCTCTTAGGAAGCTTTTGTATTTCATTAGGACCATTCACGTGCACTTGAAGCAGTCTTGTCTTCTAGAAAATTTTAAAAGTTTTCTGCAAGCTGTATTTTGTTCATAATTTAGTGAAGTCGAAGCACTACTTTCACAATTCAAATTATCCTTCTGTTTTGTCTTTATTAAGGTCAAAGGATGTGGAGAGGCATCATGTGACTCCCTCTTCTCAACACCAATTCAAGGATACATGTTAGGAATGTTGTCTGCTTGTCTTTCGGTATTGGCTGGTGTTTATACAGAGTTCTTGATGAAGACGAACAATGACAGCTTATACTGGCAGAATGTACAGTTGTACAAGTAGGTTTGTTTATTTATTTATTTACAAAATTTTCATTGCCTCATTACTCTGAGGAAAATATTACTATGAATATGAAATATCATCTTTTACCTATTTTGTTTTTGTAATCTTATGTGGTCATCAATCACCATGTATTAATATATTGCAAAATTCGAGCCATTCAAAATAATTAACATGATCATTGGCTGATTTATTC